ACATTTGGAGAAAGAAAGTCAACTGCAGACAGCATATCCCCAGCCTGTTCTGTGAAAGACGAGGTAACAGCAAAAGCTGAGTCCTCAGTCTCCAAGAATATAATTGAACCACCGTCTCTTTTTAAGCTTGACATGTCAGGAACAGGTCCTTCCTCTGCATCTGCCAGTGGCCTATTACCATTCACATTTGGAGAAAGAAAGTCAGCTGCAGACAGCATATCCCCAGCTTGTTCTGTGAAAGACGAGGTAACAGCAAAAGCTGAGTCCTCAGTCTCCCAGAATATGTTTGAACAACTGTCTCTTTCTAATGGTAACAAATCAGGAATAGGTTCTTCTGCATCTGGTAATGCCCGGTCACTATTCACAACTGGAGAAAGGAAGTCAACTACAGACAGCATGTTCCCAACCAATTCTGTGAAGGACGAGGTTTCTGCAGCAAAAACTGAGTCTTCATTCATCAAGAATACATTTGAACCTCAGTCTGTTTGTAAGGTTGACACGTCAACAACAGATCCTTCCTCTGCATCTGGTAGCAGCCTATCACCATTCACATTTAGAGAAAGAAAGTCATCAACAGACAGCATGTCCCCCGCCTGTTCTGTGAAGGACGAGGTAACAGCAAAAGCAGAGTCCTCAGTCTCCAAGAATAAATTTGAAGAATTGCCTCTTTCTAAGGTTGACACATCAGGAACAGGTTCTTCCTCTGCATCTGGTAATGCCCTGTCACTATTCAGATTTCGAGAAAGAAAGTCAGCTACAGACAGCACATTCCCAACCAATTCTGTGAAGGACGAGGTAACAGCAAAAGCTCTTTCTAAGGTTGACACGTCAAAATCAGGTCCTTCCTTTGCATCTGCCAGTGGCCTATTCCTTTTCACATCTGGAGAAAAGTCAGCTACAAACAGTGCATTTCCATTCGGTTCTGTGAAGGACGAGGTAACAGGAAAAGCTGAGTCCTCAGTCTCCAAGAATATACTTGAACCACAGTCTCTTTCTAAGGTTGACACATCAGGAGCAGGTTCTTCCTCTGCATCTGGTAATGCCCTGTCACTATTCAGATTTCGAGAAAGAAAGTCAGCTACAGACAGCACGTTCCCAACCAATTCTGTGAAGGACAAGGTTTCTGCAGCAAAAACTGAGTCTTCATTCATCAAGAATACATTTGAACCTCAGTCTATTTCTAAGGTTGACACCTCAAAAACAGGTCCTTCCTTTGAATCTGTCAGCGGCCTATCACCATTCACATTTGGGGAAAGAAAGTCAGCTACAAACAGCGTGTTCCCAGCCTGTTCTGTGAAGGACGAAGTAACAACAAAAGATCCTTCTAAGGTTGACATGTCAGGAACAGGTCCTTCCTCCGCATCTGCTAGCAGCCTATCACCATTCACATTTAGAGAAGGAAAGTCATCAACAGACAGCATGTCCCCCGCCTGTTCTGTGAAGGACGAGGTAACAGCAAAAGCAGAGTCCTCAGTCTCCAAGAATAAATTTGAAGAATTGCCTCTTTCTAAGGTTGACACACCAGGAACAGGTTCTTCCTCTGCATCTGGTAATGCCCTGTCACTATTCAGATTTCGAGAAAGAAAGTCAGCTACAGACAGCACGTTCCCAACCAATTCTGTGAAGGACAAGGTTTCTGCAGCAAAAACTGAGTCTTCATTCATCGAGAATACATTTGAACCTCAGTCTTTTTCTAAGGTTGACACCTCAAAAACAGGTCCTTCCTTTGAATCTGCCAGCGGCCTATCACCATTCACATTTGGGGAAAGAAAGTCAGCTACAAACAGCGTGTTCCCAGCCTGTTCTGTGAAGGACGAAGTAACAACAAAAGATCCTTCTAAGGTTGACATGTCAGGAACAGGTCCTTCCTCCGCATCTGCTAGCAGCCTATCACCATTCACATTTAGAGAAAGAACGTCAGCTACAGACAGCACGTTCCCATCCTGTTCTGTGAAAGACGAGGTAACAGCAAAAGCTGAGTCCTCAGTCTCCAAGAATATATTTGAACAACTGTCTCTTTCTAATGGTAACAAATCAGGAATAGGTTCTTCCTCTGCATCTGGTAATGCCCGGTCACTATTCACAACTGGAGAAAGGAAGTCAACTACAGACAGCACGTTCCCAACCAATTCTGTGAAGGACGAGGTTTCTGCAGTAAGAACTGAGTCCTTCCTCTGCATCTGCCAGCGGCCTATCACCATTCACATCTCAGTGAAGGACGAGGTAACAACAAAAGGTCTTTCTAAGGTTGACATGTCAGGAACAGATCCTTCCTCTGCATCTGCCAGCGGCCTATCACCTTTCACATTTGGAGAAAGAAAGTCAGCTACAGACAGCACGTTCCCAACCAGCAAAAGCTCTTTCTAAGGTTGACACGTCAGGAACATGTTCTTCCTCTGCATTTGGTAATGCCCTGTCACTATTCACATCTGGAGAAAAGAAATTGGATACAAATAGTGCATTCCCAATCTGTTCTGTGGAGGACGAGGTAACATTAGAA